TCACAGGCTTTGAACAATTCTTATCTTGATGTCAGTGCTTGCTCTTTCTGGGGCTGTCCTGAACACATCTGAAATCTATAAAGTATAAGTTTTATGTAGGCCTGTGAATTATTGTCATCTCTTTAGTCTTAGCCTAGATGCCCTAAACTGTCAGTACACACTTCCAAGACTACAATGGCCTTCCAGTATCCTGACTAGAATCTCCTTGGGAGACATGTTCTGTGTTCTAAGACCTTTACCTCCAGCCTTTGCTTAAGCAAAGAGCCATGACTTGGAGGAAATTGTATATTGGCTTGGGTTGGGTTTTTGTTTTGTCTTTGGGTGTGTTTGGTGTGCCTACCTGTGTGTAGGCATATTTACGGGTGTCTGGGTACATGTCGGGGGTTCATGTTTGTGGGGGGAGGCTAGAGCTTGAAGTCTGTTGTCTTTTTCAATTGCTCTTTGCTTTAATTACTGAGGCACGCATGAGGCCCCGTGCTCTAGAGTGTGGCAGGCATTTCAATAGGATCGTTTGTATTGATTTTTCCATGGTAACACCTTCTAAGGTCTCTGGCTGAAGCTAGCTAGTCAGCTTTCTGCAGAAGTATTCCCCCATCCCCAACCCCTGCCTCTGCCTCTAAACACCCGGTTACAGGCAGGCCAGTTCCCATTCTCAGGTTTGTGCAATGAGTGTTTGATTTGTTGTCTGTCTTACTGCCCTTCACTTTACAGACCAGAAGCTGAATCTCAAAGAGGCCAAATGACATATGCAAAGGCCAAGGAATGGCAGGTGGTACAGGAATGGCAGGTAGTACAGAAATGGCAGGTGGCATAAAAAATAACAGGTGGCACAAAGAATAACAGGCGGTACAGGAATGACAGGTGGTACAAGGATGCCAGGTGGTACAAGGAATAACAGGTGGTACAGGAATGGCAGATGGTACAGGGATGCCAGGTGGTACAGAATAACAGGTGGTGTAGGAATGGCAGGTGGTGGTGTAGGAATGGCAGGTGGTGATATAGGAATGCAGGTGGTGTAGGAATGCAGGTAATATAAATGAGAGAACATTCTGGATACCTGACCCTTACCTTCAACATTGCACTGCATTGGCCAGAAATGCAAATACATTTTCACTTTTTAAACCTTTATTTTTATTTGTATGGGTGTTTGTCTGAATGTATATCTATGCACCAAATTTGTCCAATGTATGTGGAACCAGAGAGTGTATTCGATCCCCTGGGACTGGAGTTAGACATAGTTATGAGCCATCGTGTAGGTTCTGGGAGTCGAACCAGGTCCTCTGGAAGATCGACCGGTGACTTTAATTGCTGAGCTATCTCTCCAGCCCATGTCTATCTCATTACAAAGGCTGTAAAAGATCTAGAGTTATGTTTTGTAATGACCACAGATTATTCCTGACTGTCAGTTTCTCTGTTCGGTTTCCCCAGGGGAAGTTTTAGGCAGGAGCCTAAGAGCCTCACACTGTCTATCAGCTTTTTACTTTCAAGTAGGAAAAATGCACCTCGTGGGAATGCTACGAGAAAATACAAAATAACGAGCCAAAATTCTCTGAGGCTTGTGTCACCCCAAGGGTCAGGTGCTTTGTGTACAGTTGCATTAGCTTTTCTGATTTTCCAGTTGTCTGTTAGATAGGGCTTTCACTAAATACGGTTAATACTTTTTATGTCAATTCTACAGGCACAGTCTAAGTTTTGGCCAACTATCCCCAACTCCACCAAGTACTTGGAAACTAAGAACCTTAAGGAACTGTTTTCATACATAGCCTACAAGTCGGGAATGCTTGTAGCACTAACAGAAGCGAGGTGAGGCAGAACCAGGATTAAAACATATGCCATCTGCATATGCCAAGATCAGGACATGCCAGTATCTAACACAAAGAATGCAATTTAAGGAATTTCTATGTCTTTGAAGCCGAAGGGAAAGGAAGAGACTCCTGCGTGAGGCGGAACCCGAGCTAAGTTCTTACACTGATTATTAGTGCAGGTCCCACACTGGTAAACACAGGCAGCCCCATCCTTGCTCGGGGTCGTTCATTAGCTACTGAGGTGAAGATTGAGTACAGTTTTCTATTTTATTTGAACTTAGAGTTGGAGGGAGTTGAAGGGACAAGGTGCTAGTGCAAGTGTGCATTACTACACACTAAATAGTTCTTCACATACTGCAGCTTAAACGCGCTGTGTCCACCACTGGGGACCCCCAGTTATCATGGTGGTCCATATACCAGCTCCGTCAGTGTCATCTACTCCCTAGAATGCCCTGGCACCAGCCTGTGGGATCAGAACCTGCAGTTCCACGTGGTCTCCACGTGGGCTGTTCACTGAACTTGAGCAGCGTTGACCACTCAGCTTCTGATTTTGCCCTCCCACACTGGCTCCCGGAAAGATGGGTTAGTTTTCTTGGGCTATGAACCTTGAGGTGGCTGGTTTCTTTAGGTTATTGGATTAAAAGCTGCCTAGGCGTGAATATGCTTCTGGGTGAATATGAGGGGATTTTTCCAGAAAGAGTTGATATGTGGGGCTAACTAAGGAGAAAAGACACATCTTGAGAGTTGACAACACCATTAAATGGCTGTGTAGCCCAGGTGGAATAAAATTTGGACAAAGGCAGAGTTGTGCCCACATATCCACACGCTCCCTGATCCGCCTGATCCGATGTTGTATGAACAGCCATCCTTTTCACATGTCCCGCCACAGCGTTCTGTAAAGCTCGTGGTCCAAGTAGCCATGAGCTGAACCTACTGAAATCTTGAGCCAAAATAAATCCTTCTACAAGTTGTGTGTGTGTGACCTCTGGGTGAGTCCATGCCCTTCCTTGTTCCCACCCCCAGTTACCCTGCGTTGCCACTTCCTCTTGTCCGTCAGAATTGATGGTTCCTGCTTTGATTTTATGTCTGAAGATAATTTGTAGTATTAGTGGTATTTACAGTTCTTATTTATCTGCAGTAAATACCCTTTTGCATATTAATGTTTGGGAGGGGAAAATTAAGACCATTGGCGATCTATAATAAGAGTAAATATTTGCTGGCATTTACCCACAGAAGGGGCATTCACTTTAATTTTCTTCCTTTTTGTTCTAAGCAGGAAATGGTAAAGGAGGCTTTTTTAAAAAAAACAAAGAAATAATTAACTGAGAATTAAACTCTTGCTAATGTCGCCATTTTCATCCTGAAAATCCTTCGTTCTGCTTTATCTACCTGATGAATTTCAGTTGTCTTAAGAGTGATTTAACACTGCCAAATCTTGATACTTAAAGTCCTGCTGGAATTAAATTGATTTTTTTTCCATCTCAAGTTTTCTAATTACTAAATCTGCTTTTCTTAGCTTAATTGGCAGTCTTGCCTCTGTGCTTGGCAGGTGTGCCTGCTTACATTGGAGCTGAGACGCATTCTCTCAGGATGTAATGGTCCAGTGCCATGATGCCAGGTGCATCCTGGGAAATCAAGATAAGCTGGGGGGTCCATTTCCTTCCTCAAGCTTCTGTCCTGCTGTGGTCTGATTCTACCTTGGCTGTCTCAGCCCTTGCTGTCTTCACCTGGAAATGAGGAAATTAGGAAGAGACGTGAATCTTCCAGGCAGAGGCCCTTCAACTGAAAATCCGTAGGGCCCTGATAGACCTGACTCTCCAAAGTCACCTGTGTTCCCTGAAACGGGTTTAGTCCATGGGTTCCTATGGATGCCTTGTTTAGAGAGGAAATTGAAGGGGGATGGTGACTTTGCCCTTGAATCCCCATACACATGGGCCAGCAAGCAAGGCCTGGAAGGGGATGATGTCATTACTCATGGGTACAATTAGCAATGATGAAGTCCAGACTTCCTCAGACATGGGGGTTTGCTAATACCATTAATCTCTGACTAGTATAAAAAGAGTCAGGCAAGCAGAGGGATTTTCTTGACAATTCTAAGAAAGAAGAGGGAGACTGGTTGACATCTTATGTGCGAGAAGACTTACAGGGCTCTGTACTAGCTATAGTGTCTGTACTAGCTGTAGTGTAGATATCCTGACTCAAACTCCAGGGTACGTCATTCTGCAGAGTCACTGCAGAGACCCCATGCCTCATCCATCGTTAGCAGCGCTTGAAAACTACTGCAGAGGAGTGGACGATGGATTAAGCCAGAGGTTTCTAATAAGTTTTATAGAACACAGTTTCCCATGCTCCTGTTCGTCCACAGGCCATGACTGATTCTTTCAATACTCTTCTAGCTTAGTAGTTGAGAGCCTAGGTTCTGGACCAGCCATACAAGCTGAAATTCTGGTTCCTCATTGACTGGCTATATGACCTTTATTCTGTTATGACCTCTCAACTCCTCTTGTCATCTGTGAAATGACATGACTGTGAGGGCAGCGTCGCATAGGATCTTACCAAAATGCAGAGAGTCCTGGTGGCCTGCTCTGTAGAGACATGCTCAGTGACTCTGCAGTGTCCTTTTGTGACAAAACCTTATCCTATTCAGAAGAAAAATGTGAGCTCTTGACAGATCCGAAAAGAACAAGGCAAATATAACTCATTACAGTTCTGGATGTGGGCCTGCTTTTTATTTCTTTGCTTGGAGCCATGCTAAGTAACCTAAAACTTGCTGTATAGCCCAGGTTGGCCTGTGTAGGTCTGATCTACATAGAATTCTAGGCTAACCTTGAGCAGGGTGAGGTTGTATATCTCAACTGAGGCTGAGGCAAGTTGGATCTCTGTGGACTCAGGGCCAGCTTGGTATACTTGGAGAGTTACAGGAAAGCATGGAACTCACTGCCACCCTCCTGAATCCTCTTCGCCAGCGCTCCCAGCACATCCTCTTCTAAGAATGTTAGAATAGGTTCTTACCTAGCCATTTTCATTTCATTTAGGAGACTTGCAATCCTGTTGCAGCGAATTGTGAAATATTGCCAGCCACTTATTAGTTTATTCCAGTTGCAAATGCTCTTGCTATGATGACAAATGACCCAAGCCCCAAAGCCACTCTTTAACCAGTTCTCTTCCCTTCTCCCTCCTCCTCCCACCGGGAAGAATTCCTTGACCAGAAGTGCACCCCTTCCCAATGACTCCCAGGCTCGCAGCGGGGCTCGGTTTCACACGTCCTATGATAAAAGATACGTCATCAAGACCATTACCAGCGAGGACGTGGCAGAGATGCACAACATCCTCAAGAAGTACCACCAGGTAACTTCCCCTTATCTCGATTGACTCTTGGAGCAGGTTTATCTTCATGCCAAAGTGTCATCAACTGTGCTCCAAACTGTGCTTGGGCAATTTGACATGAAGATCTCCTCCAGCCTGGGTTTCCAGAGCGATTGTGGTCTGATTACTGGCCCTTAACATGATAATGCTTATGCTCCTATTTACATAATGGTCCATCTAAATTATTTAAAATAGATTTAATCTAATTATGCTTCCAGTGATTCCCCATTCTGGTTGTAAAAACCGCTTCAGTAAAGATCTGGCAACTTTCCAGAAGATTCCTTCTGTGCCAGAAGTCAGATGTTAACCCCAAGTCTGTATCTGTTTACACTCCTGAATCCTGTGCTGTTCTCAGTGTCTGGCTCTTCCAGGACTCACCCAATGCCCAGTTGGACCTTGTAGAAAATTCTCTGGTTTTAGGGAATTTTGTATTGGTTACTTTCTGCCCCAGTTCATCTCCAACTATTACTACTTTGTAATCTCCTGGGGGAGAAGCCCTCGGGAGCTGCTTTCTCTTCCCTGAAATAAATTTTTGCATAGTGCATGCTGGAGCCCAGATCCACAGGTCCAACTGGATCAGTAAAAGACTTCTCACTATGAAATAGCAAGAACACCAGACGCAGAAGCCAGACAGTTCTCGGCTCAGATCCCGGCCCAGTCACCTGTTGGCCGTGTGGCTTCTGGATTTTGAGATCTGTCTCTTCACTTATACAGTGAAAGTATCAGTACTTCCCAAGTCCTGAGAATTCAATGAGAAAACACATTATCAAGTACATCACAGAGCATCTGACATGTACTCTGTGCTCAGCATATGGGAAAGTGCTTGTCATGTCACCATAACTATTAATATACGTCATCCTGAGAAATTGTAGTCTTGTTGCACAAATCCCATGGCTTATGCAGCCATTCCAGTAACTGTCCTCAAAAGAGGAATTTAAAACACACAAGTAGGTATGTGCATGTGTGCGCACGCGCGCGCACAAACACACACACACACACACACACACACACACACTCTGTTACTTTCAGAGTCTGTCTTGGTCTACTTGGTTGTATTAACAAAACACAAACTGAGTGATTTAGCTAGCAAACATGTTTTGCTTGCAGTTCTACAGGCTAGGAATTTGAGATCCAACATGGTAGAAGTCCAGAGAGGACACCTGTCCCTGCCTGTGTGGTTAGTGTCTCCTCACCTGGGGTGACAGAACTCTATGCTGCTTCCTGCTAAGTGCAGGAATCACATCAGATCCACAGCGTCATTTACCACACACCGGTGATTAGAGCTTTAAGTGTTTTATTCGTGTGTGTGTGTGTGTGTGTGTGTGTGTGTGTGTGTGTGAGAGAGAGAGAGAGAGAGAGAGAATATGCCAAGTAAGTGTGGCAGCCTAAGTAGCCCAGAGAGGACATCAGATAGCCTAAAGCTGGAGTTACAGTTGTTGAGCTTCCTGACCATTGCTAGGTACCAGTCTAGTCTTCTGGAAGAGCAGCAAGCACTCTTAACAAACAGCTAAGCCATTGTTCTAACCTGTGATTAGGATTTAAAACTATGCCTGTTGAGGGAACACAAGTATTTAGAGTGTGCTTTTACTTAAGTGGCTTTAAATTCCCCTCAGCAGTTCATACTGTCGCAGAGAATGTTCAAAGTGAAGCTTTGTGAGCCTGACTGCATCAGATTAGGGTTAGAGTTAAATCACATCTGCCACGTATCAGCCTCTTCTACCTTGTTCTCTGATGGCAGCTGTCTGTATCTGTGAGCTCCAACATGACTTGTTTAAAGCGTTACCTTTGGTCTTGCTCTGCGCCCTAACGTGCCGATTGTTTCTTGGCAGTAGCCATTCTTCCAATCTTGCAAATGTGATTGACAGCATTTCACTTGCAGTGAGGTCTATAAAAGCCTTCACATTGCAGTCTGTCTCTGGAAACCAGTGGCTGCCTCTAATGTGCTTTCTGAAGGCATCAGTCTGCCTTTATACTCATTTAACATCTAATACATCTTTGATAATGGATAGTGCTTTCGAAATTTGTTCTGCCATGCTTATGCTGTTGCTTATTATTTAAAAAACAAAAAAACAACTTTTGAAGTGCCCAGCTAACCCCTGTGAGGGCAGATACACTGGCTCTGAAGTACCTGAGTTCCAGTCCTGGCTTCAAGCTCCTCACAGTTTCACATGCTCCCCTTTCTGGAATTGGATGTCACATGCATCTCTTTATGCTTTGGCATATCCTGGAACTGCTCAAAGCAAATTGGCTTCTCATGACAAGTAAGAATGTATTATTCTGATAAACGGCCAAGATACCTTCTAACGAAATGGGACATACGGTTCAGGCGTCCAGTTCTTGATGAGCCTAGGCTCAGAATGAATCCTCCAACTTTACAGAAATCACAGTTTGAGGTGTGTTCTGGTTATTTGCCATGATGAAAGATCACAGCCAGCAGCAACTCAAAGAAGGAGGGGGTTTATCTTTTAGTTCCAGTTCCAGGTTTCAGTCTACCCCTGAGGAGAAGTCAAGTCAGGAACTCAAGGCAGCTAGTCACAGAATATCCACAGTCAGTACTGGAGAGAAGTAAATGCATCCCTGAGGCTTGCTCATTCAGTCAGCTCTTTTCATACGTCTGTAGTTGAGGACCATTAGCCTAGGGAATGGTCCCGCCCTCAGTGAGCTAGGTCAGTTAACAATCAGGACAGTCCCCACAGAGATGTCCACAGACCACTCTCATTCCTTATTGAGATTCTCTCTTCCCAGGTGACTTTAGGTTATGTTGAGTTGACCATAAGACTAACCAACACAAGGTGTTTTTCTAGGGGTACTTGCTGTGATGACACACAAGTCAGACATATCCCCAGTATTATGTAATGACATTGGGCATCAGGACAGTTGCTGACACACTCCAGGATCACTCACAGTACTGAGGTTCCTTTTTGCTCCACTGCTACAAAACGTATTTTTTTGGTATGCTCTTTATTCAGAAAAGCCACATGTCGCCAGCATCTGGGTTTTTCTCCCATCTTAAAAAGTGATACTTTAGATATAATTTAAAGCATTTCATGACTGGGACACCAGTATTAATACATTTTACTTAAAGGACACTAAATTGGAGTCATATGAGGTAGGCCCTAGCCAGTTATGAACTGGCTGCTTAATGTGCTCTGTGGACTTAGATGTCCCATCTGTGTTTCATTTCATTAATTCATTCAGCTAGGCATTTACCCATGACCATGCTCCAGAAAAGATCTGAAGTCACCCCCAGAGAAGTAAAGATAAGACAAATTTAAAAACCAAAAAAGGCAGGTCAGATAAAAAGGAAAGCATCTAATTGCAACTTAGAATAAGCCTAAAACTTCTTGATCAGTCTTTGAAGCATTTTGGGAAAACACTTGCCATCTGGAGTACCATCAGTCTGAACTGAGCTAGCTACCTGTAGTTAAGGAGCACCAAGTAAGTCATACATAGCTGTCTGAACATAATTAAACCTATTGCTAAGGAATAAAGTAGAGCTGCCCTTGATATGGGTGGGATATGACAGAGTTGCTCATAAGACACCTGACCATTTAAACAGCATCTTTACAGAAGCACACGGTACACACAGGAATGTCACAGAACTTTCCATAAAAGAGTCATTAGCTATTGGAAGCACACCAGCCTTTCCATTAGTCAGTGAGCACCTTGTGTGTGCTGGCCACCTAGCTCTCTATCAGATTTCCACCAAATGTCCTGCTGTCCTTCATACCTGCCACAGGCTTTGGTGAAGATAATGTAGTGGGGGCCAGGTCTTGATGTCCTCCTGTGATCCCCTGTGGCCAGCCACCTGTCTCTGGCTCTAGGACGTCCTTGCAAGTTGTCTTAGTTAGGGTTTCGATCGCTATGGTGAAACACCCAGGACCACCAGCACCACCCACTGTGGACCAAGCTCCTCCCCCACTAATTAAGAAAACATCTTACAGCTGGGTCTTACGGAGGCATTTTCACAATTTAGGTTTTCTCCTTTCAGGCGACTCTAGCTTCTTTCAGGCTGACATAAAACTATACAGGACAGTTGACCCCTTGTCAACTAGACACACAAGCACCTCACTGATAAGCCAGAGCCATTCCTTTCTTGTTCATCCTTGAGAACATACATTAACGTTCACATCTCAGCAGAGAGCATTTTACAAACTTTAAAAATTCTACAGTTTTCACAAACTCAAACACTTTTTAAAATTCAGTCTCATTAATGTTCCAAAGTCTCTTTTAAAACCTAAGAACATCTTTAAAAATTAAATCTCTCAACTGTGGGCTTCTGTAAAATAAAAAATAAATTAAATAAATAAATTACTTCAAGAGGGAAGAACCAGGGCACAGTCACAATCAAATCAAAGCAAAACCAAAGTCCAAAAGTGTAAATAACTCAACATTTAATGTCTGGGACTCACTCACGATCTTCTGGGCTCCTCAAAGGGGCTTGAGTAACTTCTCCAGCTCTGCCCTCGGCGACAAACACAGGTTGTCGTCTAAGCTTAGGCAGGCTCCACCCCACTGCTGCTATAGTTCTTGATCATCCCATGGTACTGACATCTCCAAAACTCTGGGGTCTTCTGTTGCAACTGGGAAGCACTTTCAGCAGTAGCCTCTCACAGGCTGTCTCCATGGTGCCAGCCTCAACTTCTCTGCATGACTCTTCAGTCCTTCAAAACCAGTACCACTTGGGTGGCTCTTCTGTGTGTGTGTGTGTGTGTGTGTGTGTGCGTGTGCGCGCGCGCGCGCGCGCGCACGCGCACATCTGTCCTGGGATGCTCAGAACTCAAACACCTTTGTTCTACTGAGGAACATTTTTAAAGCTAGCATGCAAGGTAGTGTGTGTCGCTTTACTGTGTTCTCACTCATTCTGTTCCTGCTTAAAGTGGACACAGAACAGTCACGGTTTATGTGGAATCATAAAGGTTTCTGTCCCTCTTCAGTGGATTCTGTCAGGTCTTCTTTCTTCTAGCTTTTTAATTTTTATT